CTTGAAAGCACAGAGGCGGGAAGGGATCTTGGAGTCATTATTGACTCCAAGATGAACATGAGCCGCCAATGCCAGACTGCAGCCAGCAAGGCCAGCCACACTTTGTCATGCATCCAAAGATGTATCTCAAGCCTGTCCAGGGAGGTGATGCTCCCCTTCTATGCGACTTTGGTCAGGCCGCAATTGGAGTATTGCGTCCAGTACTGGGCGCTGCACATCAAGAGGGATGTGGCCAGCCTGGAGACGGTTCAGAGGAGGGCCACCTGCTTGGTGAGAGGGCAGCAGGACAGGCCCTATGAGGAGAGACTGAGGGACCTGAATTTGTTCAGCCTCAGCAAGAGGAGGCTGAGGGGGGACCTGGTGGCTGCCTACAAACTCATCAGGGGAGATCAACAGCAAATAGGTAGAGCCCTTTTCTCCCCAGCACCACCTGGGGTGACAAGGAACAATGGTAATAAGCTGATGGAAAATAGGTTTAGGTTAGAGATCAGAAAGCAATATTTTACAGTTAGGGTGGCCAAAATCTGGAACCAGCTTCCCAGGGAAGTGGTCCTCACCCCTACCTTGGGCAAATTCAAGAGGAGGTTGGATGATCACCTGTCTGGGGTCTTGTGAACCCAGGTTTAATTCCTGCCTGTGGCAGGGGATCAGGCTAGATGATCTGTTCAGGTCCCTCCTGACCCTAGATACTATGAAACTATGGAGAAGGATTGTTAAACCAGGAAAGTAAGAGTCATCTAGGGAAGTGGTGAGATCTAGGAAGGACTTATTCTTGGTGGTGTCCTGGGTGAGGGTGAGTTTGGGTTCATTTAGCCATTTTTGCCAAAGGGAAAGGGGCAGTGATGGCCTTAGAGCCAGAGAGGCAGAGTAACTGAGGGCTGGTGAGCTCTAGGCTGAGGACAGGCTCAGGCTTTGAACTTTGTTGGCCTAAAAGTGATGACCCTGCAAAATTCTCAAATCTGGAATGCCAGAGATGACAACAGAGCCCTTTGCGACATCCTCCAATTCAAATACCACATGAGCATCTGAGTCTCTCTATTGATAGAGTCAGCCCAGATTACAAGAATAGATAATACACCTGCTTAGCAACTGGTGTTAACTCCGTCTGTGCTTATTTATGAGACAGCTTTGTTTGTATAAACAAGTGAACACATTAGACTTCCCAGCCTTAACCTCTGTCAGTAGGTTGCATCCCAAGGGTACAAATGCTATTTTATGCCTGCTTACTATTTTAAATACATTAAAGTGAATGAATGATTACAGAGGCTCTCTTTGTAAGTAGAAGCTGAAGCGCTTGTGTGTGTGTGTGTGTGTGTGTGTGTGTATGTGTATACACATACACACACACATACACACTTTGGAAGAAAAATGTGAAGTAGAGACACTGTATCAGAGGTGTATTCCATTAGCACTCTTTTATTGCATTTATTATTTATCACTAGGGTAAAAGGAAGCAATCCCAGCTAAGAAAAGAAATCTGAAGTATATCTGCATGGAAGTGATAATTCCTGTTGAGCAATCAACCTATTTGTATTCCCAGAGTGCCTTTGCTCCCAATTAAGAAACTGCTTGGTAGTTTTTCCTACAAACAATTTAGGAGACCTTAAAGACCCCCAGGGTAGGAGCCAGCACCACTTCCCTAGGAAGTTGGTTCCAGCTCCTAGCCGCCCTAACTGTGAAGTAGTTCTTGCGGATGTCTAATCTAAACCTACTCTCCAATAACTTGTGTCCATAATTCCTTGTTATGCCAGGGGGCGCTAGGGGAAACAGTGTCTCCCCTAAACCCTTCTGGTCCCCCCTAGTGAGTTTATAGACAGTCACCAGGTGCCCCCTCAGCCTTCTCTTGTGAAGGCTGAACAGGTTTAGGTCCTGCAGTCTTTCATTGTAGGGTCTGCCCTGTTGTCCCCGGATCATGCGGGTGGTCCTCCTCTGGACCCTTTCAATGTTGTCCACATCCCTCCTGAAATGGGGCGCACAGAACTGGACGCAGTACTCCAGCTGTGGCCTGACCAGTGTCGCATAGAGGGGGAGGATCACCTCCTTGGCCCTACTTGAGATGCGCCTGTGGATGCACAACAAGGTCCGGTTAGCCCTGCCAACCGTGACCTCGCATTGTTGGCCCATGCTCATCTTGGAGTCAATAATGACTCCAAGATTCCTTTCTACCTCTGTGCTCTCAAGAAGGAAGTTTCCCATTCTATAAGTGTGCTGCTGGTT